CCCCGTCACCCTGCCTGCAGCAGCTTTGGGGGGCTGAACCCCCAAATCCAAGAGAGGAGAAGCAGCCCTTCAAGGTGGATGACCCCCAAAGCACCAGTGGGAGTGGGGCAGGGTGGGGGGCAGCATGGGTCCCCCACCCCACAGCCCTGCTAGTGCTACACGGCTGAGAGCAGCCATTCACCCCCGTAATGCTGATTTTAGGTGATTTTATACAAGGGCCCCCGGCAGCCCAGGTGTAACACATCCCCAGTGCCAGCACTGCAGCAGGGGCTTGGCCTCGCAGGGCATGCTGCGTCCGGCACCGAGCCGGCTCCAGCGTCAGAACCCAGCACGACTGTGGCCAGGATTCAGCCAAAAGTGAAACTCCGAGTGTGAAATTAAAAGCAATCTGCCCAGGCATCACTGGTTACCAGGCAAACCTCCCCATGTGCGGTCCAAGGGCCATAAAGTGGTAAGGCTGGGGCAAGCCTAGGCAGGCTTCTTCAGCAACTCCATCCCTTCTCCCCAGTCAGCCCCAGAGCCATCCCGCTGGCAGCACGCTGAGAGAAAAGGGTTAAGGAATAATCTAAAAGCATCTCCAAGGAGCACAGCAGAGTCTCCTGGCAGATGCTGTTTCTGGAGAAGCAGGCGTTGGTGGGCCGGTGCTCCAGCTCCTCAGGTGGGAAATCGCAGTCCCTGTGCAGGGGAAGGGCTTTGGTGCTCGGAGCCTGGTCCCTGCGACCCAACTGGGAAAGCCCCAGGGCACCCAGGGGTGCTGGGGTGCACAGACCCCCTGCCCAAGGGTGTCCATCAGCCTCGCCCTAGGCCACCTGCATTCCCAGCTCCTGCCCCCACCTGCATTCCTCCCCAGAGGCTATTTTGAAGACAAATAACTTATCTGCTGCTTTTTAGGTAATGCCGCATTTAGAAACAATCATCTGAGGTGTTTAAAAAAAAAGAAGGGGGGGTGGCAGGGAAGCACGTAAAACCCTTCCATAAATTTTTCACCTCTCCCCTCGCTCTCAGCCCATGTCTGGGGGGTTTAGGGGGATGCTGGTTTTTCCCGCAGCCCCAGCCCTCGCTCGGCTCCTCACTGGGGCTGCAAGCCCCCCACCCTGGGGCCACGCTCTGGGCGCATTCCGTGACCAGCCTCAGCCCTAAGGGGAACTAAGGAAAGTCTGAACAGGAACTCGGCAAGCGAAACCCCCAGCGATTTCATGGAGCTGGGCCCGACTTTGCAAACCGCAAA